TTCACAAAGATTCACAAAACTTTCATCAAAGTTTTTTACTTTTTATTCAGAATTTCTACAAAACTTTCGAGTATGCCCATTAAATTTTAGTCAAGTTTCAACCGGCTAAAAAATTGCATGGAATTTTGAGAATTTTTTTTTTTTTTTTTGAGACAGAAGTGCAAAAATTCTCAGAACTCAGTGGGATTGTTTAGCCGTTTAAAACTTGCACATCATTAGACTAAAACTAAATGAACTACAAAACTGCGTACTCGAAATTTTTCCAGAAATTCTGAATAAAAAGTTGAAAATTATGATGAAAATATTTGGAGTTTTTGTGAACTTTATATAGAGTGTGAGACTTTCATTTATATCGTTTATATTATAAAATCAACTATATTTTCATAAATAGTGAGTGCAGAAAAATTTTTCATGAACACAATTGTGAATATTATATTATAACAAGGCGTATACTTTCATTTGTCACCTAGTGTACATATGTTTGCATTCAAGTATATAGTACAACATACATACATACATGTATAATATTATTAAATATATATGCATAATATTATCCTTTTAAATAGCGCCAATACTCGTATAAACAGTTATGTTTTTTGTTCTTTTAATAAAAATTTGCATGCGTATGCTCTTTTTTCAAATAAGCAATCTCAGCCGGCAATTCTGTTCCATAAAAAATCCATCGGAAAGCGTAATTAATAATACACTTGTGAATCCATTAAAATTGCCAATTTATTGTTTTCCTGCTTTGTTTGGGGGAATGAATTTGCGTCATAAACCAACCCGAGCTGATGATTGCCGGCTTCCTAGCTGATGATCAGCGATTATCCGGCGAACAGACACAGCATGCACGAGCAGTCAGTACTCAGGCGGTTTTAATAGCTTGGCAAAAAAAAAGACAAAAACGAAAGGCGAAAATATAAACATTTAGAGTATGTATGATTATTGGTGTGTACGTACGTATGTATGTACATATAGTTCATGTGTATATAAAACATGCATAGCAAGTTGATTTAAATTCAATCCGATTCCCGCACACTTATCTTAAGTTTTGATAAAATTTCAGAAAACATTAATAATCGCATTCTGTTCTACATATTCGTATTATGTATGTATGTAAATATGCGTAGTAAATTCATACATATACATAATATTGCATTACAAATTTCATTTACTGTACAAATAGTGCAGCACGTTAAGGTAATATGTATATATGTATGTACATATCAGCCACAAATTTGCGGCAAGCCATTGGCTATAGCTTAAAAAAAAAAAATCAAAACGCCGAGTAATTGTGCTTTTGTGTTGTCTACACTTGGATTTCATTCACAGATTCTCTCAGCACCCACCTTAGTATGTTGTCCATCATATTGATTCGCACGATTAAATTATCATTTTTATTACCACTGAAGTGTGAATTGTTTACACAAACATATTTACATATGTATGTATGTACCGCGCCACCGTATGTAAACATGTTAATAGAGAAGAGACATTTTTATTGTTTTCTTACGAAAATATACCTAACTATCTAAATAAAACTATGTTAATCAAAATTTCAAACTTTGTAGAACATTTATAAAAATTCGGCGAATTACAAATCCTCAAAATTTGAGACTTTTTAATTTTTTTGAGTATGCAGTTTTGTAGCTTATTAAAGTTTACTATAACAAAATGTAAATTTGAAGTAGTTAGGACTTGCCGTTGATTTTTGGCAATTTTTTGTTTAGGCATCTTCTCCAATACAAAGTAAGTTCAAGCATTTTTTTTTTGTGGAAAAAATGATCAATACTTTCCACAAAAAAAATTGCAAAAGATTAACGGTAAGTCCTAGCTACTTAAATTGTGAATGAGCTACACAACTGCATACTCAGAACGTTTTTAAGAAATCTAATTAAATGATCACAATTTTGTTGAAACTTTGTCGAAGTTTGCTAATTTTCGTACAAAGTTCCAAATGGACCTGCAAGGTTTTTGTTAAATAACGAGCTACAGCGAGATATTTTCGCCACTGTACTAAATGCGTGAAATTTGTACGCAGACAAGAACTGAAGAATAGTGATTTTTTTTTTACCTCGCTTTTATTAGCTTGGGAAGTAACCAGAGTGACGAGCAAAACTGCAACAGGGTGTAACACTTTTTATGCCTTTTGCAATAAATTTTAAATTCTTGCAAAAACTCGATGTTTAACACCTTACTAAATATATTTCAACATAAGTTTTGAAAACAAATCACAAACAATTGTTGATTCTCACAAAATAAGCCATCTCGTTATAAAGAAAAATATTTTAAAAATAGTTCTTGAAAAAAAAGAATGGCTCATATACTTATTGGTACACCCCTCAAAACGATTTGAAGTCAATGCAACAACAATAAAAAAAACTTGCAGACAAAAATGTAAATTATGGCAAACGTTACAGTTTTGCACTCACTCTCAGTCTTGCATTTTACAGTTATATTTTACTTAGTTGGAAGTCGGATGACTTTATTCTGTATTGTAATGTTATTCAAGAAGCGATCACCCGTAAATAATATGGTTAATCAGGAAACATAAATGTAAATAATAGATTTACTGCGGAAAGGCGGGACCACAGGAAAAGTGGTAAAAAATTGTGGATGTTGCCACATGAAAATGTTAAGACTGAGAAAAAAATATAGCCTAAAATGTTGCTAATGACAAAGGAAGTCTGTCAAAAAATATTACGGTCCGAAATCTTGTGAACTTAGTAGCAAGTAGCGATGCAGCCACTATTACAAAAGCGCTTAGACAGCGGGCGAAAGAAGAAAAAAACAATTTTGATCAAAATACATGTGCGGGTGGGGCATCATTTTGCTGCATCGCACGAAAACCAGACCGTTGCCACTTGGGATATGGTGGGCCTTTCAGAATGCAATGAATGGCCTGACAAGACTAAATTAATCGCTTTCAATCAGATGGCCGGGCATGGTATTGGATCAAGGACCCATATTAAGGTAAACTGTGAATCACAGTGGCCCGTCAATAATAGTTTGGGAAATGCAAAATAACGTAACAACATCGCCACTGAAATGGAAAAAGTAGTGACAAATTTTTTATTTATATATTTTTTTTTCATAAAACGATGTGGGGAGTTGTAATTCGATGAAATCAGCAAAAAGTGAATTTCGAATTTTTTATAAGTTACGACTTTTTGCATATCAGTGACGACGTTTTTACGTTATTTTGCATTTTTGGTGACGATAAATTTATGAGTATATATATATATGTATATACATTTATGTATGTATACATCGTTAGAGATATCCAAAACAAACAGCCGCTATGCATGACTAAGCTTTAAGAAGACGTGGACACACTAAAAATATGACGAATAATTTCACTGGTACAAAACTCGCAAACTTTATTATAAAATCAGTACAGAAAGAAGAGAACAGAAACTAGTGAAAATCATCCGAATATAATTTTCACAATAAAGAACCTATCTGTCATATGGAGGGAGAAATAACACAGGCCTACGTTTTTAGACCCTGAGGCTGGACTATACTTTTTGAAAAGTTTTGGTGCGCTGAATTTGAATCCGGCATCCGATTTCCTCCTTCAGCACAAGTTACGGATATATGCAAACCTAAGCATGCCAAATTGTGGTTTAACGCTATATTCGTATGAACGCCAAAATTACATAAGAAACGTCGAGACACTTAAACTTAATTTTGGGTCTTAGATTACGGATCTGTACGGCGTTTTTAACTGACTTCGCAACAAGGAGGAGGTTCCCATTTCGTCGAATTTTTTTTTTTTTATCTACATACATATGTTACCGCCTTACTTTGGAGCACGTAAACTGATTTTTATAATCCCACACTATTTAATTTGGTTCAGATCCGATAATTGGATCACAAAGAAATTAACGATAGTCTTAAATTTTTATATTGAGAATTGAAGTCGGATTTTACCCGAGTTGAGCGTTCTTTTGTCACTCATTTCGAAAAAAATGCAGCTAGGGTTGTTTGCCTCGGCAATTGGCATCTTAGAGACGCACTGTCGATCTTTTTCGCTGCCTCGTTCTATATTTCTATATGTTCAGGAACGTAACAAAGAGTGGCGTTGAGATGTCCCATGACTGACTGGTCAGGAAATACAGTGAGGGAAGGAATTCATTTTGCTTCGGGATATGGGGATAGGTGTATTGTTTTTAGCTGGGGAACGGGAGTTTTTTTTGGGTATTCCCTTTCCATTGGCGAAAAGACTGACTGCCAGCAGGTTCTCCAAATAGAGAGACTGGTGCCGGTTTCCTATGCAAAGTGCAAAGTTAGCAACTTTGACCATTGAGCTATACACATAGGGTTGCTAGTCGCCGTACTATAATATGTAGTATCCTACTATTTTTTCAGTTTGTATACTAAAGTGTCCAAGAATACTATATTTCTTCATATATTTAGATGAAAAATCCGGTCAAAAGTCAAATTTACCAACTTTGGCAAAAGTTGTGTTAAACATACTTTTTCTAAAATTAAATAACCGATCTTTTGAAGGGTAGCCAATAAAACTTCCCCCGCTGCTTTCCCTTTGACATACGTCCACCTGAAAACAGTCAATGTTGCGGTCGCTTTTTTTTTGTGCTCGACGAGTTCAATCTTTCTACTTGATCAACGACCAAAGACCTCATACAAAAACTGCTTTGCATACAATTTTTCCTGCACTTCACAAATTCGTTTTCGAATTCAGGATAAATAAAATGAAGTTCGAAATTTTATTTTAACATTTTGAATATGTAAAAAAATATGCAATGATGAATTTAAATTATATAAATAAAATTGTAAAAAAAAATAAAAATACAAAAAATTAAAAAAATGCTTTTTATTGATATTTTATGTCCAAAAGTAGTTAGTTACAAGTCAGTTGACATGTAATGCAGAGGTGCAGGCCCCACAAAAGTAGTTAACTTTTTTCGAACAAAATATACAGTTAATATTTAGCACTAGGGTTCGCGTAAACAGACTAAAGTTAGGTATAAGCTAACGTCACTCCTTGCAGGGAATATCAAAAAAAAAAAAAAAAAAACGAAACCGGTGGAAACCGATTCGGCGAAACCAAGTCAATTACCCTTGTGTTTATGTATATAAATAAGTATTATATACCCACCAGCATTTACTTCCTCGAATTCGTTGACACCAGCACGGCACGCCTGTGATCTTTTGATTTTATTTTATTTCTTAGACGAGTTTCTTGCCTCTCCGCGGTAATGCACTGCGTTGGCGGCGCCGAGCGGTTAGAAGCGAGTCTTTATGCAAAGAGCAACGATATTCATAAATTTGTCAGTTTAATTCACACATATGTTCTAATTGAATTTTGGGTTCGGCATTATGCTTTTCGTTTCATTTAATTTGGTGGTGGGTCAGTGCAAAAGTTTTGGTGGACGATTTGTTAAATTGTGGATGGCGGGTGAGTATTTGGCCAAGATGCTTTGTTGGTTGTAAAAAACTCAACACAACACGTGCTAAATAGAAAAACACACACACATATTTATATACATATATATGCACATTTTAGCGTCTGGGTAGATTTTTGCAAGTTAGTCAGAAATTTAGCAAAGCGATTCTTTTATTTCGACCTCCCGGCTGGTACAGAGAGATTGTGCTAACTTTATGTGGGACACATTTTTTTTTATCTATTTTTCAAATAGCAACTGGTGCTAAAAAGTGATGCACTACATACATTGGACTCTCCCATATTTCTATGGACATATTTTTTGTTTAGACTTATTGTCGGTCTCACCCCCCAAAAAGTTGAGGATGGGTACAAAAAAAAATTATCCTAAAATTTTACGCCTTCCCTACGCGAAAAATACAAAGAAAATTTTAAATTAAGATTATTGAACCAAAATCGTACAGGCTAGTTAAATAAATAAATTTACCTAATTTAGTGAATGAAAATTAAAAAAAGGGTTTTATACGCTACATTACTGCACATGGATCACCATGTGGTATGAGTTACGGCAATTCAAACTTCATACGCAAGTCGGGCAGGAAAGGCGTAGTCCAAGGGGCGTAAATTTTAGGGCAGCTCTCCTTGTAGCCAACCGCAGATTAATGGAGGGTGAGACTGTTTTCAAAATAAAACAAGTAAAAGCAGCGCTGTCTTCGGCTATGCCGAAGGCTTCATACCTTTCATGAACATCTGCAAATTTTACTTTGACAGATTACTGCTTTTGAATACATCTGCATACATCGATAGAGGAGTTACATACTTATATAAAAAATCGCATCTAAACAATCAGAGGTATGGAAGATATACTTTATATGACACCAATCTAAGTGATTTTCACCGCTATGTGATCGGTATGTAAACCGGTAACACAATTTATTGGGTTTAGTTTCGTACATAAAGGAGATATATGGTAAAAACTGGTATCTGAACAACCACTGCTATAGGAGATAAAGCTTATACAGCATAGATTTTCACGATTTTCTCCGTAGACTTTGTATTATTATTTATAAAATATCTTACGAAATTTA